CCCTTTCTGTCTGCAACAATTAGTTTATTATTGCGTAGCAGCATTGTTCTTCAAAAGGTATAATTTGATGAAATTCAGAAACTCTCCTTAAATCAGATTCAGGAAAGCAATTTCTACTTTTATAAACAAATTAGTATTTAATAGTTTGCTGTCTCCATCTGACAGGAATCCTAGGTACTAGAAAGCTTTGTACGACAAGGCAATTGCATCCATTTTATGTGAAAAGTATTTAATCAAATGTTTGCCTCTTACCCAAATGTACGTACTGTATATGCATATATGTGTGAGAGTGTGTAGAATTAGCTGGGCTTGGACTGCTTTCCATTAAGCATTTTCTGGTTAATTAAGTTTACATATATCCCATTTGCCCATGATAGTTATTCAATCTTGTTTTAGAGATAAGAAAATTCTGGCAAAGGCATTTAGAACACATCCAAAACCAACAATTTAATTCCTTTGAATATTTGTGTGTTATTAAATTATTTCTATACTGTTTTTTCCCCCATGGTTCAAAGCAGTCTACAACACACACATACAATTTCAAAATAATACCATCGAGTCATCAAAGAACTAATATAATGTCACAACCCCAGCAGTGATCATGATACAGAGTTAAAGAGTGCAGAGCTTCTGGCTAAGGAGCCACATCAAGCACAGGCCTTGAGCTTGCTGCTGGATACTGAGAGACCACCGACTCTGGGGCTAGCATACCCTCCAACATTCCTCAGATGAAAATCGGGACATTTCTCACTCCCTCTAACTGACCCTCCTTGACTCTCCACTTTTGTACCCGTCGCCCACCCGCCCGCAGAGCATTTCCTATCAGAATAAGTGCCACCACCATGACACCAATGGGACAGGACACAGCACACATGTCGTCTACTGTCCTGAGAAAACCCCTTAATCCCTGTTTAGTTTAATTTATTCTTTGGTAGAGAAACAAACAGAAAAACACATACCAACACAATGCATTTAAAAATAAAATAAAATCAAGACTCCTTGTGCAGTCTCTCCTCTGCCTCACCTGCTCTCCAGCAGCTGCTATAAGCTGTGCAAAGGAAGAGGCTGACAGTACCTGTCAGGAGCTCAGCCTACACTTGAGTAGGCCCCTGGCAGAGACACATGCCCAACTGGCATGTTCTCTCCATCCTGGTCGATCGGGAGCTTCAAAAGCTTTCTTCAGCCTGAACATCACAGTGACCGATGCCAACAGACACCGGCACACTTAGGGATCCACAGAGTCTGCGCCATTCGCGTAACAGACTTCAGCAACTCAGCATTTTGGCTAATCTACTTTATTTACATAGAAACACACACGGAGCACTGCAACATGGCTCCCTCTCTCTCTAGCATCAGACAGCAAAAGGAAAGAACAAAGGACAATAGTCCCACTTCACGGAACAGAGTAACACAAACATCCTGTCTCCATCCCTTCCCACTTTGTGGAGTCAAAACATATACCATCATGTGAAAGGCAACAATCCCATGACTGCAATCCTGGAGCAGGAATTCTAACAGTAGCAGCCATGGAGAGGCAACAGGATTCTCCCTTGAAACTGCAGCTGCCACTCGGGACAAGTGCCGGCTCATCCCCCTCCCTGAACTTGGTGGCGGCAACACCGCCGGAGGAAATAGGGACATTCTGGGATCAAATCA